TGTCAGCTAATACGTATTGAGTGTCAGTAATGTTTTTTTTCTGTCAGCTAATACATATTGAGTGTCAGTAATGTTTTATTTCTGTTTGCTGATACATATTGTCAGTAATGTTTTATTTCTGTCAGCTAATACGTATATTGTCAGTAATGTTTTATTTCTGTCAGCTAATACATATTGAGTGTCAGTAATGTTTTATTTCTGGAAGCGGACACGTATTGTCAGTAATGTTTTATTCCTGTCAGTTAATACATATTGAGTGTCAGTAATGTTTTATTTCTGTTTGCTGATACATATTGTCAGTAATGTTTTATTTCTGTCAGCTAATACGTATTGAGTGTCAGTAATGTTTTATTTCTGTCAGCTAATACATATTGAGTGGAAATAAAACATTACTGATGTTAGCTGATACATATTGTCAGTAATATTTATTCCTGTCAGTTAATACGTATTGAGTGTCAGTAATGTTTTATTTCTGTCAGCTAATGTGTATTGAGTTTCAGTAATGTTTAATTTCTGTCAGATAATACAGTGACATTATTGTTGGTTTTGTTTTAATGTTAGTTTATTTAAACCTTGTTGTTATCAGTATATCTCTATGGAAAGTTGTAGTGATAGTTGATTTTTTTTCAGAGGTCTTGTGGTCATGCAGACATTGAACCTCACTGGTGCACTTGTCTATCTTGGGAAGATGTGTTCGTGGATGAACCCATAGCAAAGGAGGTAGCACAAGCTGTTATTGACTTTATCAATGACTACACCAAAAACAAAAGACATTTGTGTGCTAAACTTTCACTGGATAAAGTCACTGTTTGTCAGCAACTTCTCCCAAATAAAGCTTTGCTGAAATTTAAGAAAAGCAGTGATAAAGACGGCTTTCTTGCTGATCTCAGTGACAACACTGTCGTATCTGAGGCTACGTATCAAGTACAATTCCATGCATTTCCATCTGGGGGAATCTTTGAAGCTTCTGTGAAACATGATATACCACGTGGGACTTTTCACGTCCGTGAACAAGAAATAAGCCGTGTGAATCTTTATGGTCCACAACCACATTGCGTGCAAGACAGCTACCCTCAGTTGCGCAAGTACTGTTACTGCAAAGTTCAGTAGCAGTGCTTCCTTTGTTTGTAAAAGGATCACAATGGAAATATAGATTTTTTTAGAATTTAAAGAGGTATTAGTTGAAAAACAACATGCAAGTAATCCAAAAGATTGACATACCAGTACAACAATAAGCAAATACATCAGTACTATAGTAGGCAAATAGGTCAGTACAACAATAAGGATATAAATAAGAACCATAACAAAAGTAAGTAATCAACACAGCAGAATAACACATACGAAAAGTTACAATAAAAGCAATAGTAAACCAAATAAGATCTACACACTAGAACAAAAGTAAGTAAGACACACACATCGGAATAACAAGGAAGTATAACGGAGCTTTATTTACAAATTTTTTTGTTTATATTTGCTAGTCATTAATTTTTTTATGTAATGGTAACCTCCTCTGAATATTGTAAAAGAAGTTTATAATCAGGTATATATTCACTAAAACTGTCTAAGGTGACAGATGTGTTGAATGTAGCAGAAGTAATTTTAAGGAGTGGGTTTCTGTGATTGAAAACTTGTAAATGTTAGCATTAATGAGTGTGAAAGTAAATCATGAATGTTAACATCAATATAATAAATGTGATGCCACATATTACTTTTAAATTGAAGTTATCTACTTATCATCATATTATCATTAGAATGTCTTACTTGTTGAACGTTGGTGTATTTAAGATGTGCAACCTCAATATAATGATTTTGATATATTGTACTAATTTTTATTGTTAATTATAGAATTTTACACAGAACTTCTTTTTGTTAATTAGGTTGTGTTTAAGTCAACACTAAACTTTGTTTGTTATAATACTCTAAATCATAATAGAGTGGGTTTATTTCACTTCAATGAGGTACTCAGAAAAGTGCCATCTTGTGTCACTTAAGAAAAATAAATTCTTAGATAATAGTAAATTGTATTGTTTTATGTTAATTAAGCTTGGGTTTTCTACTTCCATACAGAGTCTTATCACTTTTCATATTATAGACTCAAAGCTTTAACACTACCTCAGTTACTATACTTCAGTCAGGAAGCACATCCTACTAATATAATAATAGGTAGTAAAATATATGCTACTTAATTACATTGAATTCTTAAACACATTAAGACCTAAGGTCATAATTTTCACATATGAAATAGAATTCCCCTATTTAAAAAATAATAGTTACCACCAGTGTATACAGGAAAACCCATTACATCATGATGCTGTCGCCATAGGATCTAATCACTACCTGTCACATAAAATAGCCTCCTACTTCACCCACGTAAATCGGGCTATACAACTTCGCACCACAAAGAAACCTTACTAATTGAATTGAGCTACTTAAAGAATGTATCTAGAGGTTTCAACCCTAACATCATAGATAAGGCTTGTATCAAACTTCAAAATATTATCTTAACTCCAACCTTTCACCAATCAACAACATAAAACACAGCATATTTGATTCATTCCCATTTTTGACAGAAATTACAAGTCTGTTTAATAGTTTGAATTGAGCATTAATGTAAAAACTGTATTCAAACCTTCACATAAAATTAACACCTTACAACCTAATATGGATATGGAAAGAAATATATAGGACAAATATAACGATCCTTAGAAATAAGATGCAAAGAACACCAAGATCACATGAATTTCTGATATACACTTTAACATATCAATTTGAAACAGGTCACAAAATACTTTGAGATGTAATTCTTATACACCAACCCAAAACTAAAAAAGGAAGAGACTGTTTAGAGACTACAGAAATCATCAAAGCAACCGATCTCTTACTAAACCTTAATAATGGCCCTAACAACATCAGCCATATTTGGCAAGGTCTGTTCATCATTCATACACTTTACCTATTTCCAGTCGCCTGTTGACACTATTTAATACCTGTGTCTTTTGTATTTGTTACATTACATATTGTTTAGTACTGTTTTTCTTGAAACATGTAGTATGCTCCACCTTCAATAAAACTTACTTATAAATTGTTGTTTGACTTCTTATTATTCTATTCCTAGAGTTTAAATTTTCAGTGGATTTAAATCTAGTATTAAATATATTGAAAAATACAGGGGTATATAGTGGTAAGATATAACACTAATAATTACATTTGTTGGAAAACGAAGTCTAATAATGAATAATAGAGCCGCGGCAACAATTGTAAACATCTTTAATAAACGTTTTGGAATTATACCTATTCCATTTTCAGCAAATCTGGCAAAATAAATTTAAATCTTTAGCATAATTACTAATATAAAAATGCAATGAATAGTGTTAGGAAGTTATAAAACATTCAATTTAGAAGAAAAAAGGAGCGAGGGGAACGAGTTTGAATTTCTATTGAGGCTTGAATTTTCGTTCATAATATGTAGACTTTCATTTATCAACAGTTCATAATCATTACATCCAAAAGTTAGAATTGAAAAGTCTGAAGAAATGGTCAACACCTATCAAAATATATTTTACTTGAGGTTTGAAAGTTTTTTTCGTGTCTCAGGTTGTTCCTCAAAATATATTTTTACTTGAGAGTTTGTTTCATGTCCCAGGTTGTGGTCATTTCTATTGCCATTCTTTTAGCTCATCAAGTTTGGTTCTCGAAGATGTTATTTCATGGTAATAGTTCTGTCGTGATCCAGATGCTTTTCCCAGCTCTTGTGCATGTGACTGGAGCAGTGAAGGCATGGCATGAATATACTGTTATATACCTGTTTCAGATCCAGATGAGAGCGAGACACACACACAAAATGGTTTCATAACACATTCATCGGCTTTTTCACTTATAAGTGCAATTTTTGATAGAGTTTTCAGCACATCTTTAAACATATAACGTAAAGTTACCTGACAATCATACTGTTACGACAACAGAAGTCACGCGACGCTGGAGTTTCTAGAAGGATCATGAATTTTCCTGGCAACTCTAGTTTGTTCGAGGCGCCCTCCTTTTGAGTATATAAGGCTGGCGAGAAAAACCAGCGCGATCGGGCAGGTAAATTGCAGAGATATGCAGATAGATTGATGAGATAGATAACTGAGTCAAGCGAACAGTAGGCACCGTAAGTAAAGTCTGTGAATCGCTGTGATTTTTAGCGTGTTGTATAAAGGTTAAGTTTAAAGTGACTGTGGAAATTCTGTGTATTACAAAGCTGTATTGAGAAAGAATAAACTAGTTTTAATTAAGAAAGGACTTGTATCGCTGAAGTTCCTCGGAAAGAATTTATACCGGAAATTAACAAACGACCAGATAGGTAGTCACGTGACTCTGGTAACACGTCATGATATTCTTGAAGGATCAGAGAACATCACGATTAATCCAGTATGTGCTAGGCGCCCTCTATTCCTGTACATAAGTGCGCCGGTTAACGTGAGACTAATCAAGCGGAATTGAATTGCAGACAGGCAGAGATAGAGACGGACAATTGAGTCAAGCGCGGTAGTGACCGTAAGTAAGTGCGTAAATCATTGTGAATTATAGCGTGTGTTTAAAGTGACTGTGGAAATTAAAGTGTATTGCAAAGTTGAATTGAGAAAGAATAAAATAGTTTATTTAAGAAAGGACTTGTATCGCTGAAGTTCCTCGGAAAGAATTTCTACGGAAAATTAACAAACGAACACAGAGACGTAACAAATTGGTGTCACAAAGTGGGACTGAAAAAAAAAGAGAAGAAAAATAAGATGGAAACAAGAAGTGGCAAATCAAACTACAGCTTAGCAAATTTGATGGCAGCAATACAAGAACAGCAAAAGAAACAAGAAGAGAGATCACAGCAGTTGTTGGAGGAAAAACAAAAGAAACAAGAAGAGAGATTACAGCAGTTGTTGGAGGAAAAATAAAATAAACAAGAAGAGAGATTACTACAGCTCTTGGAGGAAAAAGAAAAAACAAGAAGAACGAGAACATAAACAAGAAGAGAGACTACAGCAGTGGCAACTGGAACAAGAAAGGAAACAAGAAGTACAAATGGAAAACATTAGTAAATTTCAAAGCGAATTAAATACATTAAAGGATGGTTTATTGTCTTTTACACAAGGAGGATACATTAACCATCGACTTAATCAGCCCAGACAACGGGAAGCCCCTGCATTAGGGTTTAGCTGCGGGGTCTGGAAGACATCTTCAGTCCTGTTAGAAGTCACATCCCAGATATGAATGTTACCAATAGGGGTGATCTAGTAAGAAAGAAGCCACAGGAATTCGATGGGAAGGCACCGTGGGAAGCATATAGAGCACAATTTGAGCTACTGACAGAGATGAATTAATGGACAGAGAAGCAGAAAGCAGTATATCTGGCAACGAGCTTGAAGGGACAACCACTGGAAATACTTGAACAGTTGTCAGCAGACGACAGACACAACTATAGAGCACTCGTGGCTGCTCTAGAACTCAGGTTTGGAACCTAAAATCAGTCCGAAGTCTACAGGGCTAGGTTTAGGACGAGAGTCCGTGCTAAAGGGGAGAGCCTGCAAGAGCTGGCACAGGATTTGGAAAGTATGGCACACAAGGCCTACCCAACTGCACCACCTGATCTCCTCTAGTTGTTGCTGAGGGATCAGTTTGTAGATGCTTTGGACAGTCCACAACTGAAGATACAAGTGAAGCAAGCACACCCCTCTACCATGCAGGATGCAATGGCCAGAGCTCTTGAATTCGAATCCTATGTTAAGTCCAGCCCAGAGGTACCAAGGTTGGTATAGTCATCAGGATTCAAGGCCAGAAAAGGTTAGCTTTCAGAGAGGTTTGAGGGATTTTGCTGGCACTGTA